AAGATAACTGCATCATTAGAGAAAAATAATAAATAAAAAATTATAATATATATCTTAGAATAGTTAAGTTTGGACTTGTCAGTATTTGGATTTAATTTTAAAAACTAATAATATTTAAAAGTTAAAATTTAGTGCATTCTCTAATATATATTTGTTCCATAAATTATTTTATATCCCTCATCTATTAATTTTTTTTTTTTGATAAAATGAATTTTTTTTCAGGAAAATTTAACAACAATCGCGATATTAGGTTTTATCATTGTATTAACAGTTTTAGTATTATAAAAAAGTATTATTCATTATATGAAAGTTAAAAATCTCTTTTAATACCTTGACAAGCTTTATAATTATAGGTCGTGTGTTTATAAATATAAGATTGAAGGTATTCCATAATAATAACCTAAGATTAAGTAAAATCAAGTTCATTTACAATATTATAAATTGAAATCATTTATGAAATTATAAAAATATATAGTTATTTTTTTATAAATTTTAAAATTTAAATTTAATGCCCAAATGTGTCATTTTTACATTATTTTACTTGCAATGAATATATTCATCTATAGAAAAGTTTGTAGATTATCAGGGCATAATTGACTTTTATTAAAAGCTATTTTGAATTAAATTTTAAATATTAAAAGATTTCTGAATGTATATTATAGGTAAGGGTTTGATGTATTTCATAATATTTTTGTATGACAATTATTTTCGGGCATATTATTGACTTCTGATCAATATTACACCAAGTAGCCTTGGTTTCTGATATTCCTTTTTAAAATCTAAAATAAAGTTAAATAAGATTTTTAAAAGTAATCAACATTTTAGAAAAAAAATAAACAAAGCAGCTTACTTATTTGAAGTTATTAAAAAAATTGCAAAAATAAAATGCATATATTAAGAATGTATACATAAGATTTATATTATATAAAAAATAAAGATATCAAACTAACGCTTCGTTGAATATGGTTGACGGTTTAATTATTTGGGAGATGCCGCAAAGGCTATCTATAAATCGTTCACATTTCTATTATAGTTATTTCCTTGATAATAAATACATAAACGATTTGAAATTAATTACTACGGTATTTAACGCTACGGTAATAAAAAAAATTATATTTATATATAATATTTTGATTAATGTAAATTAAAAATGTGACCTTTTTGAAAGTATAATGTTATTAAAATCTTAATTTAGCCGATTTATTAAATAAAACTGTTAAAATAAATATTACTTAAGAAGAGATTTTGCCAAAAAAGATCCTACCTATCTTCCATATTTAGAAAATCTTGGACTAAAATATTATTTTGCCGTTTTTAAACTGTAAAATCGAGGCTTTTATTATTTAATGTATAATTTAACATGTTCATATTAGAATTGAAGAATTTGAAGGTATAAATAATTGTTTATAGAATAAAATCCTATATATCTCTATTTGAATCCTTTACAGAGTTAATTCTATATATTCTAATTAAACTTCTAAAATTATTAATGTATAGTTCTATATAGATACGAATCCTGAATCAATGAAAAATATCCTCGCCGAAGAAGATATCGATTCGAATTTAACATACGGGATTCAATTTTTATCCAATGAAACGCATGCTTATAATTTTAATGATTATAAGTACATTAGTAACGAAGCATCCACAATGGTAAATACATTTAAACCTTCTACATTAGTGGTTTATATCTTTTAAATTCTTTATTTTTAAAGTTGCGATTTGTACAACCATACCGGGCATTACTTGAAGTTCATGAATTCCATGAATCATTTATTCTTAGAGGTTCGTTGAGGTACCCATTCTCAAAATTATTATCCATATTATTCAAGCATAATCATGGTTTAATATATTCAAGACCCAAAGTTAATGTCATCCTGCAAAATTGTCAAGATAACAACAGTAAAATTATTAATTTAATTCCATTTTATTCTATTATTATGTGTTAATATCCTACATAGTCCTTGGTCTACCCAACTTTGAATCTAGCTCTAAAAAAAGTTAATATAACAAATTATATTTTAGTCATTTATATGATAATTAAATTGTCATTCAAAAGCAATTTATATAGATGAACAAAGTCTTTCTCATTATGTGTCATTTGAGGGAATTTACAATTTGGTTATCTCCGAAGGAAATAAGACAATCTTTATAAAGTTGATTAAAAATATAAAATTGATATAAAACGAAAAATATGTAATAGAAATCTGCCTTTGTATCCCTCTAGTAATTTAGCATTTCCCCACTTGCTCTTCGTTGATTTAATTTACACATCCGCGATTAAATATTACTATGGTGGACATGCTTATAATTTAAACATATTCCAGACACCGCTTGAAGATATGAAAAAAGCATTAGCTTATTGGGAAGACTTTGATATTTCAGAAAATACGACGGTAGTACATTTTTAATTGATGAAAAATTTTTAAGTTTAAACATAAACTAATAGATTATATTTTATGCACATAATTTGAGCTTAATAAGGTAATGGCTCATATTTTTTAATTAAAGTTTTTGCAAATTTACGCAGTTTAAAAATTCAAAGATAAAATTGAAGTTATTAATTTTTAATAGGAGATAATCTAATTAGCAATAAGAGCTCTTTTAAAATGAAGTTATTTTTAATATCCTATTGTATTTTAAGTACATCACCTCATTTACTAACAATACTTAATAGGTTTCAGTATGTATATATCACAAAATTCTAAACAAAAATTAGATGATAATACAGGTCAACTCCAATAGATCTGCTATTCTTTGCACTATGGTGTTAATCCGCATCAATAATGGTTCAGAATTTCGAATTCACCTAGGAATGAATCAATATGTAATGAGGAAATATATTAATAATTATTTTTTTATACAATAGCTATTATTATAGATCAAATTCCCCATTTTTCTATTGCTAACTTATCACTTTCCTACTAATCTTTCTCTTTATTACTATTATATAAACCATTATTTAAGGCAATCGTTGAACAGAACAATGTATCTTTGACCCTGAAAATTTATTACAATGACATTGTTGAGAATATTATACAAAATGATTGTATAATTTATAGCATAATGTGTTACGTGAATTTGTCTGAGGACGAAGATCAAATCATAAACGTAACTACTTTTTCTACTTGGAATATTAGGAAACATCTCTACTTAATACCAAAAAATAGAAAATTTTATTAATTATATTATATTTGATTTTAATGGTTATTATAAGGGTATTATTATTTTAAATAGATTTATATTCATTTTAATAAAATATTTGCAGGAAAGACTTATTATTAAATTTACTTAATAATTCTGATATTTTAGTTACCCATACATGTATTTTATTTTAATAAGCTTTATAATATATTTATATGTTAAAAGAAAGAAAGAAAGAAAGAAAGAAAGAAAGAAAGAAAGAAAGAAAGAAAGAAAGAAAGAAAGAAAGAAAGAAAGAAAGAAAGAAAGAAAGAAAGAAAGAAAGAAAGAAAGAAAGAAAGAAAGAAAGAAAGAAAGAAAGAAAAGAAAGAAAGAAAGAAAGAAAGAAAGAAAAAAGAAAGAAAGAATGAAAGAAAAAAAGAAAGTAGGAAAGAAAGAATGAAAGAAAAAAAGAAAGTAGGAAAGAAAGAAAGAGGAAGTTTAAATAAATGAAGATGATGCATATATCTCTTAGTTAAAACTGAATTTACACGATAAAATTAGAAATTCATGTATAATCATTTTTTCAAAACGTATGCCCGCTTAGCTATGCCTTATGGGCGCTTGTGATTATCCTCGAGATATTGACTTTCTTATAAGTAAAATAAAAAATCATTTTAGAATTTTGTTGAGATACATAGCCTTTAATCTAATACTCTTTGCCTTAAGGAATGCCCATTGTAATCATAGTTAAAGGGAGTATTTTTATGATTGTTTAACGTTTAATGATATAAAAATTTGATATCTTTTTTATTACACATTCAGTTTTTCTAAATTGACCCTATTATAATAAATATTTAAAATAATCTGGTAACTTTAATACCACCGATATCTTATACAAAATAAATATGAATTAAAAAATATTTCCATAAATCTTTCATTTTTTTCGATATGTGTGAGCTCTGTTTATTTTTGTGCTACAATAACCTAAACATTGAACCTATGATATTATTATATGAAAAAATTATGTAATTTATTATCATAAAGTATTTTATAAAAATCTTTTAGATAGGTCGGTGGGAAGTAATATTGTTATGATTTTCAATTTAATCGGAGATATCAATAAATCCTGATTTCAGTAGCGTCACTATAAGGGGGGGGGGGGGGGGTAGAGGCGCACAATTAAAAAAGGTTATTTTTTTAAATTGAGTCGCACCCCCCCCCCCCCCGAGATTGCTAAAATAATATTTTATAATTTTTTCATAGATGATTTCTTATAATAAACTAAAAAAATAAAAAATATTTTATTGGCCAGAATCAAGTATAGAATCTATTTTGTGTTGAATTTGATGGGGATTTTTTTGAGGGGGGGGGAGGGTGGAATGCTTTTCTTCCTACAGGTCGGAGAGATATTTGTCTTTTGCAGACATCTAATCTTATAACCTAGAGTGAATCACCATAATTTAAAACATAATAATTATTATAAAAATTAGTAGAGATATATTAATTATATTATATATTTTTTTCTAAAATGACCACAATAAAATATTTTTACATAGTTAATAAAAAAATGAACTCATTAGTAATAATGAAGCAAACTACGCATTATTGAAATTGTAAACAAAGCGATTTTAAATGCGGGCTTAAATTAATGTTTAGCGGCAAATAACGAAAATGGATTTAAAATGAGGAACTTCTATGCATGGTAAAAAAAATATATTTGAAAGAGCAATTAGTACTGGCCACGACTACATGGCAAACCAGCTAGATTAAAATATAAAAAGATTCTATCAGACTAAATTTATTCAAACTTCTTTATCATTATGCTATAAATAATTATAATTAAATAAATTTATATAACAATTAGTTTCCACGTTTAAAAATATAAGATATATATGATGGAATGAAAATATTATTATCCATGATTTAATTTTGCAAAATATAGAAGGTAGTTTTACAAACATACAAAAAAACCTTAAAAAAATCAATTATATTTAAACATCACTATACATCTATACAATGAAACACTATAATTCATAAGATTAATTTTCCTCAATATCTAATTCATTTTCATCTTGGTTATTTTTATCTTTTATTTGTTCTTGTTGATTGTAAAAATGAGCGATCTAAAATAATAGATAAAGTTTATCATCATAAATTAGATATAAATCATTTATCTAAGAGTATGCCTTATAATGGTTCAAACAAATCTAAAGGGGGGGGGGGGGGGTGAATGAGATGGGGGAGAGGGGTAGAGTTTAAATAGTAAAAAAAAATTGAAATGTGATAAAATATATAATTATTACATATAGTTTAAAGCTAACATGTGAAAGACCAGATTTTTTAAAATGCATATTTTAATTTATATCATCCATGAAAAAAAAACCTTAAAATTAGGCCTCTGCAAGTTATTTGGTATTTTTTTTAATAAAGAAAATAAATACCATAAATTAGTATGAATCAAGAAACTAAACAGTTGAGTAGATTAAAACAGTATTTAAAAAATGGAAACACAAACTTGGGTAGCTGTAGTGGCATCTTCGGCATTTTTATCTTCACGGAGTTTAATGTAACGAGGGAACCTTAAGGATATGCCCTTATCTGGGTCCACCTAAGCAAATGTTAAAGGAAATTATCTTTAATACAAACACATCAATCATTGTCCCTAAAATTAGTGTTGTTAATCCGATGGGATTTGAGCCAATTTTTATAAAAAAAAAGGCTAACTCAATATTTCTTTTGTCAGAAAAAATTATGCAAGCCTAAAGATTTTTCTCCATAGATGGCAGACGAAATTTCGCGGCTTAGGAAATATTTAAATATATTGTTATCCATTTTAAAAATCGGCTCTAATCTAGCCATTTAACAACACTACTACAAAGATTCTAACCATTTAAAACTTTCAAAATGGAAACCAAGATATGCATTGTATAGATGGAATAAAAATAAAGAAAATCTATTTTTCTCTAATTTTAATAGTGCGTCTTTCTTTTTTCTATAGCACACAAAAATGGAATAAATACGAACCAAGCCTATGGCAGCCTTATGTATGGGAGATATGGAAAGATCGGCCGCCTTAACTTCGCAAACCAATTTGGGTTCGAACCAGATATCTGGGCTGCTACCTTGTTGTTCATTAAACCCAGTGCAATAATATGGTTTGGGGGCTTTTATCACGTGTTCCTGTAGTTTGGAATGTAATTTCTCTAAATCGGCATCTTTGAAACCTGTTCCCAACTTTGAAGAATTAAATATAAAAAAATATATTTAGAGATCTGCATAATGATACGGGCTAAATTTTTTATTTATTCTAGAAAATAAGATTTTGCCTATATAATATTTATCAGACCTGCAGGCCCGGCCCTAAGCCCAGCCCAAGTACACGGGCCAGACCGTATTTTAATTTATATAAATATACCCTGCCCAGGCCGGACCTGAAAATTTTTTTTAAAAAAAATAAAAACCAAATATTTGAAATCGCCATTATTAGCTATAAAAATCAAAAATAATAATATATTTTTTAAAAAATTCGGGCCGGACCTGAAAATTTTTTTTCTGAAAAACACATGCCGGGCTGAAAAAAATTTTTGAAAAAAAATATTTGGGCTGGGCTGTGCAAATGGCACCTTTGCAGGTCTTGGATATTTATCTTGGTATTTATTTTTGCAATAAAAACATTTTTTTTATTTAGTGCTGATCACCAATAAATAACAATAAAGTATATTTTGTGAAAAAAAAATCATTCCAATAGTTATTATAATAGTAATTATTGTTATTAATCGGTAATAATGCTGTAATCAATATTTGATCCAGAATAATATTAGGCAAGCCTTAAGATTTTGCTTGTAGAAGGAACAGAAGTTCGGACATCTATCACTAGCAACGAAATCTCGTGGCTTGAGCAATATTTTCCTGGCTAAAATATTGAGTTAGCCGTTTTCTAATTGGTTAAGAAAATGAGAAAGCTTTTAAATCCATTTTGGTAGATAAAGAGATATAAATTAGGAAATATATATACTTTGCAAATGGTTTGGTATTGTTCGTTAACATCGTCGTAACAGGCCAATAAAAGCCCGCCATAATGGCCCGTTCTTTTGCCTTGCCCTTGATAAGCTCCTATTATCACCAAATCAAAGGTATCCCCGGTTGAATCCAGGTAATCCTTTTTAAGCTTTAATATAGAAATTCAAAAAATAAATTATTTTCTGTATGAGAGATAGAAGGCTCATTTTTAAAAAATTCATTTTTCGTCATTGTATTATATTAATTTATTTTAGTCTTACCTAAAGTTAGAGCCAATATGAGGGAGTATAAATTAGATAAAAGAGATAGTATGAATATCATAAAGTGGAGAGAGATATTGAAGGAGCCTACCACCAGAAAAGGTGAAAGCTAAAGAGAAAAAAAGAAAGTCTTAAACAAAAAGTGAATATCATTCCATATAATGCAATAGATTTAGATCTCAATGATGAATCTAACTTTAAGCCATTTATTAGAACGCTTGTCGATTTCGTAAGTCGAATCCAAACTTTTGACCATCAGTCCCTCACAATTTCCTGAAATATTATAAATTTTTTTATCAATAAAACTAATTGTTATGACTAAATAAAAATGGTTAATAGAAATCTGAAATTACACATTAAAATAATATCTACTTGAATTATAGGGAAAAGAAACAAATTTATGATTGAAAATTTTAAACTTTTTTTTTCTTAACAAACCTTTGATAGCGGCATCCAAAAAATCCGAAACTTTATCCAATTCGCGCGTTTCCTGATTGGCTGGGAGGTCAAGAGAACGCGCGAAATCGAAAAAATGGCCGGAAGCTCGGAATGTTTCCTTCAAAAGTCCTCGTCTCTCATGTAAAGGTAGATCGGTGAGACGGTTCCCGTTTAGGTATAAAAGGTCGAAAGCGAAAGCCCGAACCTCGACCTTTACGTCGAAACTGGATGCGTCCTTTAAAATTTTTGCGAAATATATTATTATTTTTTGTAAAGTCAGTGTATGATATAAATAAAATATATATTATATATCATTTTATCACAACAAGCATATAATCATTTAAGAGAAACCTCTTGTAAAAATATTAATACTAATACTTGTACTTATTATGCGCTTTGCAATGACAGTCTAACTAGTTGAATAACAAAAATTTATATATTTTTAAACTAGAAAATAGATATTATTCCTCTTTATCTAAAATTGGGCTATTTATTTTAAGAATTTGTAAAATTAATTTGTAGGTGTTGAAGATGATTTTCTTTCAGATTTTATTAGCGACCTTATTTATTTATGGTGAATTCCATATCAAAACCAAGGTTTCGACCCGACCCAATCAGAATTTTTTTTAAATTTTCTAAATTGGTAGTATGTAGTTTAGCTAAGTAAATGAGATATTTTACTTCCTTAAACCACTTACTCGCTGGAGTTTAAAGAGAGGAAAAATGGTACATTTTTGACAAAATGCACTTCATTCATTTTCAAATATCTCAAAATAAAGTCAGAGTTAATTTTTATTATATAGCTTAATAATTACATCTTTAATATGATTGATATATAAATAAATGTGATAAAAACCCGATTAATACCCAAAACCGGAAGTACAAGACTGGAAATTACCATAGAAAAAAAGGTATTTTTCGGAACAAAATCCTAGACCGGGTTGAAGGTGGGCCTGGAAGTTATGACTTTAAATGGCTAAAATTGATCCAATTTAACATAAATATCATTATATTTAAATTTAAATTTAATGGATAATAACGTTATAATTTTTATTTTAAAAATTACGTCTAAATGAAAGGCGTTTACTTTATTATTTTAAAAATGGAATAAAAGTATAAAAATATAATTTTGTGTTTCAGAAATTTGTTTTGCCGTCAAAAACTTGTTTTCAAGGTGATTTTTCATACTTAAATATTCATCATCTCACAAATGTAGAATTTATCTTTCTTATTATTTCCTGAATAGTTATAAATCCATTGTTGCCAAAATATTATTTGCGTATATGGGTATTAGTAATTTAGCAGAGATGAGGTCCTTTGTTTATCCAAAAATATTGAAAGATCTTAATTATGAAGAGATTATTGAAGTGGGTAAGAAAGTTTTTAAGCCTATTTCATCATTATTTAGCTCGAGAATTAAATTTATTCGGATAGAAAGAGGGGGTTGGTGAATCAGTTGTGGAGTTTGCAGCTCGACTTAAAAAATTGGCTCAAGAATGTAAATTTGAATCTGACCTAGATGGGAGATTGAGGGATCAGATGGTGGCTGGAATCAAAATGGGTGCATTGGAGAAAGATATTAGTACTAGATTTCCAGATGGAATAAATGACTTGGGAGAAAGGGTGAGTTTTCAACAGGTTTTAAATATGGCTTTGGCAATGGAAAGGGCTGAGGATGAAGTGACAAATATGATGGTAAAAAAAGTCAATAAACCTAAGGAGCAGATGGAGAATAATCAAGAAAATTTTTCTAATCAAAAGTACTCATATAATAATAATAACAAAGAAAAAGGTAATTTTAGTTATTACAATAACAATAATAATAATTTTAAGTTTAGAGATAACAATAAATTTAACAATAATGATATGTATAAGTTTAATAAATGCTCAAAATGTGGAAAACTCATCCCCCTTTTCAATGTTTTGCATCAAGGATGAAATGTTATAATTGCCAAAAGGTAGGGCATTATGCTAAATATTGTAAGGGACAGAAGTTACATGCTATGCATATAGATGACAATGATTCATCAGATTCAATTAATAATATTTCCCAAATTGGTAGAAATAGTGCAAAGATATTTGTTTGGATAAATGGAGTACCTATAGAATTTGACTATGATACGGGGGCACAGGTATCGGTGATTGGGAAACAATATTGGGATGAAATTGGCCGACCCAAACTTGGACCAACCAAACCTTTATCAGTATATGGTAACCAACCGCTAGATGTACTTGGTGAAACTATGGTGAGGGTTCGTCTTGAAAAGATAAGCAGATCACTACCGATTGTGGTGACCCGTTCAAATGACATTCCATTATTTGGACTACCATGGATACTGGCATTTAATATGTTTATTCCACGACAAGTGACTATACGTAGTATCACAAATAAAGAGGTCATGACAACCGATAAACAAATTGCTGGCATGACAACAGAATTTTTCAGTGTTTTTAATGACAAGCCTGGACGGGTGAATGATATAGAAGTTAGCATACATTTGAGTGAGGCAGCAAGGCCGAAATCATGGCCAGCTCGTAGAGTACCTTTTCCATTACGAAAACCAATTGAAATGGAACTCGATAGATTGGTTAAATCAGGAATATTGAAGGCGATTGATCCAACACAAAAACGGTTGACATGGGCCACTCCAACAGTAAACGTACGAAAAACAAATGGAGAACTCAGGATTTGTGCGAATTTTAAGGTGACATTAAACCCATATGTTTTGTGCGATTATCATATTATACCAACGGTGGATGGATGATCTTTTAACCAAATTAAAAGATGGATTGAAATTTACGGTAATAGATTTGAAAGATGCATATTTACAATTACCAATAAAAGAAAGTTCAAAAGAATACTTAACCATATCGACCCACATTGGTTATTTCCAATATCAATGTATGCCTTTCGGTCTTTCTAGTGCGCCGACCATATTTCAAAGATACATGGATAATTTATTACAAGACTGCCAAATGACCGGAGTATATCTTGACGATATTATCATAACGGGGAAAAATGATGTAGAATATTTGAATAACGTAAAAAAAGTACTAATGAAACTAAAACAGGTGGGTATGAAGGCAAAATGGGCCAAAATACGTTTTTTAAATGAATCAGTTTCTTTTCTGGGTTTCGTAATAGACAAATATGGAATACATCCAGCGAAAGAAAAATAGATGCTATTCGAAGGATACCAACTCCTAATAATATACACCAATTACGATCTTTTTTAGGACTTGTGAATTATCACGAGAGATTTTTGCCACATCTACATGGAATTGCCGCTCCTCTGCATAAATTAACAAGCATTATATCTTGCTGGGGTTGGTCGGACAAGGAACAAGAGGTATTATTAATTGAATCTGATGAATCATTGTCATCTATATGCATAGCATGTAACTTCTGTCCCTTACAATATTTAGCATAATGCCCTACCTTTTGGCAATTATAACATTTTACCCTTGATGCAAAACATTGAAAAGGGGGATGAGTTCTTCCACATTTTGAGCATTTATTAAACTTATACATATCATTATTGTTAAATTTATTGTTATCTCTAAACTTAAAATTATTATTATTGTAATAACTAAAATTACCTTTTTCTTTGTTATTATTATTATATGGGTACTTTTGATTAGAAAAATTTTCTTGATTATTCTCCATCTGCTCCTTAGGTTTATTGACTTTTTTTACCATCATATTTGTCACTTCATCCTCAGCCCTTTCCATTGCCAAAGCCATATTTAAAACCTGTTGAAAACTCACCCTTTCTCCCAAGTCATTTATTCCATCTGGAAATCTAGTGCGAATATCTTTCTCCAATGCACCCATTTTGATTCCAGCCACCATCTGATCCCTCAATCTCCCATCTAGGTCAGATTCAAATTTACATTCTTGAGCCAATTTTTTAAGTCGAGCTGCAAACTCCGCAACTGATTCACCAACCCCTCTTTCTATCCGAATAAATTTAATTCTCGAGCTAAATAATGTTGAAATAGGCTTAAAAACTTTCTTACCCACTTCAATAATCTCTTCATAATTAAGATCTTTCAATATTTTTGGATAAACAAAGGACCTCATCTCTGCTAAATTACTAATACCCATATACGCAAATAATATTTTTTTTTGGTTTCATTATTTACTAATATACCTCTTATCTCCAACATATCATCAATATATTCAATGTAATCAGCAAAATTGTTTTGCTTGTCAAAGTTATCAAATTTGATCATAATGTTATCATTTTTTTCTTCTTTATTCATAATTACTTTATTTTTGTCTTCTTTGTTCATAATAAGATCATCGACAACGTCGCCAATATACTAATTAGTCTTAAATAAGCATACACAAATATGGATGGCTTTATTAACTAAAAATCACCTGATATATATATATATATATGATTGATTTGTATGTATGACATTTATAACATTGATAATATATAATATAAATCTCATTTATAACATATCCCCACGCATATGATCTTACAATTCCTCAATCAGCCGATTTGTAGGTTTCCTGGCTCTTTGTGATTTCCGCGTTTCTAGTTTTCCGTTATCTTCCACATTTTCTAAAATCTCAACTATATCCGACTCTTTATTTTTTATATTTTCCTCTTCTCTCTCTGACTCCATATTTTCTTTCCCTGGCCCAGACTTCTCCATTTCTTTAGCTACCTCCCTTTTTCAAAATTGATCTGCATGCTTTCGTACCATTCTATCCTTGCTTTCTACCAAATAAAAATATCTACCAGTTCTGGATTTTATAACTCCTTCTCTCCAACCTGAATTTATTTCATTATGCACCCATACCGGTTGTGCAATCTCAAATTCTCTCATATGACTATGTTCATCATGCGCTACTTTTTGTCGTATATTCGATCGTTCCATTTCATAACTAACATTAGGACGTAACCAATTCAATCCCGTTTTTAAATTTCGCCCCAATAATAACTTAGCCGGTGAACGTCCAGTTGATTGATGCTCACCCATTCTATATGCTAGCAAAACTTCTCCCATGGCTTCCTCGGGCTCCCTGATGTCTTTCCTAGTTGCAAAATATCGACTCTTGAGGGTTCGTATCGTTCTTTCAGCTAAACCGTTCGTTTTTGGATGGTACGGTGTTGTATGTATCAATTTAATATTTTTCTCGAAACAAAATTTTCGAAATTCTCCAGAAATAAATTGAGGTCCATTATCTGATACGATTTGTCTAGGTGTTCCAAACCGTGCGAACCATATCCTTAAAACCATGATCATTGTCGTGGACGTGGTCTCTCTCATTAACTCAACCTCAACCCATTTAGTATGTGCATCAACTCCAACTAACCATGAATACGAATCAATAGGCCCCACGAAATCCAAATGAATTTGTTCCCATGGTATATTAGATATGTTCCACGAATATAAAGGAACCTCCATAATATTAGACCGATTACTTTGACAAGGCATACATTGACGAACATATTGTTCAATATCTTTATCGCAATTCGGCCACCAGCAATACATTCTAAAAATTGATTTCATAGCATTTATTCCTGGATGCCCTCTGTGTATAATCGTTAATATTGATTTCCTCAAAATGGTTGGAATTACCAACTGTTGCAATGCTCCAGCTGCTCACCGTCGTATAGTAACGCCCTCCAAAACTGTCGCAGGGACTTTTACCAGGTGCGGTTGCAAATAAATGTCATTCCTCCTTTATCCATAAATCATTTTTATGAATGTAGAGGTTTTTTTTATATAGGCTAACTTGTGCCATTAGAAAAATTATAAATTTTGGCTATACTGCCAGATCTTTTTTTTAAAGATACGATCAATTTTGTTTGAAATAAATAAAATACACATGCGTTGTTAAACATATCTTAATAATTAAGTGATATATAAGGAAGTAAAATTTCATTTTTCTTCTGTTAGAGATTATACTACCAATACGCTAATTTTTTTTAAAAAATACTGAGGGGGTCGGGTTTAAAATAGACTTTTTATTGGTTGATTCCATATATATTTTAAAGAAATTTTAAATTTTACTTAACTTTTCTCTTTCTGGTACTTAAAATTTGGAAGGGCAAAATGCGGCAATTTTGCGAGTCCCATGCTACCACCTCCGCATCCATAATAAAATCCTTCACGTTCTGCGCGTCGTAAATTTCGTCGTGAACCTCATCGGTGGGTGAATCGCGTAAAAATTTTTGGATCAAATCGGGATATTTCTGCGTAGTATCCTCTTGATTTCGGCTGTAAATTCTGAAAGTCCCGTCAGAACAGAGATGGATCTTTTGTTTCAACAATTAAGCAAAAAGGGTGTCATTTAAAGTATAAAATTTGTGAAATTCCCATCAGATCCATTTTAATTAGAATAAATGCAAACCTGAGCTCTCTCTCCGTCGTATTTATATTCGAAGGTCAAGGGTTCGTTTGATTTGTCGGAAGATTTATCGAATTTTTTGAACAATTCGCTGAGGTCACCTTTTGAGGGTTGGGCCAACATGGGCTTGACAGGAACACCTTTTTTTAAAATATCACAAAATATGTCTTCTCAGATCATATGGTCGCTAGAATATTAGAGGAATATATGAATGGGAAAATTATTTTACGAAGATTAGGTAAGTTTTTCCGTAAAAAATTTTAATTGGGTTATTCTTAAAATTTTTAATATTCTTAGTGAATATACAGGCCCCATTCCCTTCCAAAATTGGATTAAAAAATGTTTATCAAGAATTTCTGTAAATTTGACTACTTAGCTAATATTGACCAAAGCTTGGCCACCTTATGCAAATTTTAATATTCGAACTTATAAATAAATCGATACAATATTATGAGAGAGAAAATATGAATTCTTCTCTTTTCTTCTCAGATAAGATATATGATTAGGCACGAGATATGTACTAATTTAAAATTAAGAATTAGAAGAAATAAAAAAAACAATATAGAAATATTCGTTATTTTTTCATTAAATTTGGTATCCATTTTAATGTTTGCGAAGCGTTTAGGCCATGTGGTTAGAGAACTATATTAAGAATTTTACTTTTGTGAACAAAGTAGTTTGAACAAATATCTTGTTTTTAAGAAGGGTAGTGTAGGGGGACCTTTAAAAATATGATCTTAACCCCCTAATGGTGCATTTAGGTATGTTTGATATCCCTATATAAGTAACAGCGTATTCGATTTTGGAGTATTGATGTACGGTGTCAAAATGAGACAATAGTAGAAAACGGCCTAAGTTATTAAAATTTGTTGTTTCGAAGCGGCGCGTGTGGGCCCAGAAGCCAGAGACCTTGATGCTTCTACTCATCTTTAAATCCGGGTGGAATAGAGTTTTTTTCTAAAGCCATAAAAAGTATTTTTGTGCTAACAGTATATATATATGATAGATTATATATACAAGGACATGGTTAAGATAAGCTGTTACTTATTGCCTTTAATTAAAATTTGAGCATTGTTAGGAAATATGTGTTGACTGACGTCGTACATCATTACCCATTGATTTATTTCTTATAGATATAATATAGAGCAATATCGGGTTTTAATCGCGATTACTATAAATGCACCATAATATAAAATTTTTGATTAAAGGTTGTTGGAGTTAGATGATCTAGCTATGAGATTATTTAATTTAAAAGATGGATGGACCAACACTATTATACATAAATCATTCCTTTCCAGCATATAAAATGAAAATAATATTATTTATGTATTACCTGGATGCATTTTACAAGTATCGGCTAAATTCGAAATTCCATTTTGCAGGATTAAAGGAATAAGGATATCGTAAGATGGGCATTCACTAATTTTTCAACAAAAAAATACATTACTTCACCCTTCATTCATGGTTAGCGAGAATTCGCGGTCTAGAAAATACATGAAGGGTTATAGTCTTCATTGACAGTTAGCGCCAATTCGCGGCAAAATATACAAAATGGAGGGTCATAGATAATATAATTTCTTATTTTATTTACGCTCATTTTTCTTCTTCTCTCCCTCGAAAGAAAGTATTGATTATATATAAAAAAAATTTATCTAATTATGCAAAAAAAAGAAAGAATTCTTTTAAAATTTTTCTCTAATATCATTTGGACTTATTCCTCCTCAGGGTTTTTTAATTGGCTAAAACTGTGATTTGTAAAAAAAAATAACGAATAAAATTTCGGGATTATCCGCCGAATAATAATATTCGAGGAAAATTGGCATAGCCTGTAAAATAAAAGATTGAATGGTCCTTGTTAAAAGTTTCGATATTAAAAAATAAGATTTTATTGAAAATGTTATCTTTTTTTATAATGGTTCATATATGTGTTTGAAAAACCATCTGCATTAATACAAAGTGATGCTTTAGGCGTATAAGATAACAAAATCAATTTATACAAAATAACCAATGAAAAATGTTATATTATCCGCTAATAACTAATTATTTTCGATAATTACGGTTAAATAAATAACGAGAATTTTATCCACAGCTTACTAAATATTTGCGATGATTAAGGCATCATGTTCAACAGTCTTAGAGGTCTGTGAATTACAACCCTAATTTATTACTTAAATAGTCATTTAACAAATATAGAACAATAAAGAAGTACCATCATTAAACGTATTATTAACAATAACCAATGAAATAAATAATGATACTATTATTCACCAGGCTTATTACTAAGTTTTTGCGATGATTAAGGCATCAAGTTCAACAGTCTTAGAGGTCTGTGAATTACAACCCTAATTTATTACTTACATAGTCATTTAACAAATATAGAAAAATAAAGATGTAACATCATTAAACGTATTATTAACAATAACCAATGAAATAAATATTGATAATATTATCCACCAGACATATTACCGAGTATTCAAGATGATTAAGGCACCTCAACAGTCCCATGGGCCTTCGAATCACTACCCATAGTTTAATAAATACAGAAAAATAAAGAAATAACATTTTTTTTAAAGGAAGAAAACAAATGAAGGTTAAAAAATTAATTTATTGGTAAAAAAAATACTTGAAGGAATTTTTCAATATAGCCGCATTTTGGTCCATCGCTTTCTTTTTAGCATTTTTCCCTTTTAAAAAAAAGTAAAAATATTATCATTTTTACCAAATTCTCAAAATTATGGAAAAATTTAAAATGTCTAACAAAATGAGTTTTATTATAAAATGGTAAATATATTCGAATAATCGGCTTATTTGACCCTACTAACCGGGTGGAGATAGTTGAGTCTTACTTATCATAAAATTGTAAATAAGCCATTTAACAACACTACAAGGAATCAATTGAATTGGGGGGGGGGGTTAAATATCACGACTCATAAGATAAAATTTGACGAATGGATGGAAGTTACTAGCCCAATAAATAAAATATTATGATTAATATTTGTCTATTATATTCTAGCGAAATTACAAGAGCCCTCTTAGGTCGACTAAAATGAGCTTAAAGAGGGTAAAGAACTATATACTCCCTTCTATCTAAATGGATAGAATGAAACTAAAAAAAAATGAATGTAGTAACTTGTGGCATTTGTAAACGCCATAGCCAATGCCGTCAGTATGCTCTGCTGGGCGAGTCCTATCCTCATCTTCCCGCAAACAAACCTAACTAGGTATCGGCTTTCACTTTTTTCGCAATCTAGAAACAAGTCCTTCAGTTTGTTCAATTTTTTGGTAGTACTCTTGCAATTTTAAACATGGAATAAAAAATGATTTTTATAATTGGGGTTATTGATTAAGATAAATTTAAAGAAAAGCAATTAAATTAAATACAAGGAAGCAAGTTATTAAGAAAAATATATAGTATATCATTTAATATGACTCACTGTGTTGCCGGATATCTCCGACATGTCTGAAAGGGTTTTAAAGACCTTGTTAATCGTGAGACGTTTCTTAGATTTGAACATTGTTCTTTGGGTAGTTTTGCTGTTTTGGGCGACTATTCCTATATCTCCCTTAGACTTGAGGTCCTGTTTAACGCTAGCAATGCTCCTACCTTTATATTTAAAAAATCATTTTCTTAGCATATATTAAGTTTTTTAGTAATAGTGTTCTTTTCAAACATATTGTGTCATTTTTTAATGCAGGAACTTAGAATAAGAACATTAAGTTATGTGTTTGAAAAGTGGTTATCTACTAAGGTTTAAGAAACAGAACTGGAACTCATATTAATAGAAACCGGTTCTAGAACTGTTTCTAGCAAAAGATAAAATATTGTATAAAATGTGTCATTTATTTTAAAGGATTAATTTTTATTGTTAAAAAGATTTTTTGCTTGAATGTAGTTTAGCTCTAAAACAGAACCTGTAACTAGAGCTCTGCAAGTGCAAGTTGGTTTGAAGACTTACCTCAAGTCGGGTTGGGGCCTATTTTTAAAAATTCGGGTCAAGCTCAGGCCTAATTTTTTCATATTATTGGAATTTGGATTGATCTTTCTAAGACTATTTTGGTTAGAGTGCATTGGTCTGGTCCAAACAAAAAACCGGACCACACTCTTCGCTCTTTATTAAGGCTTCCCCAATATTTTAAACTAATCAGAATATTCACTTATCCCTGGCTCCCAAAAATCAAAAAAAATCTCAAAACTTTATAATTCTAAAAGTATGTTTTATCTTTAAATTTGTAGAAAGGTTTTTATTCAAATGATATAGTCATGACCCTTAGTGGATCAGGCCTGGAATAGGTCTGCAGTAAAAAATATTTTTAAGCCCAGGCCCAGCCCATATTTAATATATATAAAAAATTCCATGCCCGGCCTAGGGCCATAATAAGTTTCAAAAAATTTTCGCAAGCCATATCCAAAAATTGAATTTATTGTTTTTAATAAAAATAAAAAAAAATTTCAGTGTATTTAAGTAATCATTTTGTTTGCAAAACTAAATGATAAAAATTTTAGGGCCAAGCCCATTATAGAAAAATTTTCAAAACCCAGATCCAGATCAGGCACACTAGAAAATATCATATTAGGCCCATACCCAGCCTCATGAAAGTCTTTGATATACATATATTTACAAATTATTTCTAATGATGATTTTCTCTTATCTAATTAGCCTTAGTACACAAGTATAAATTAATATTTATAGCACACTATACATATATTAGTATTAAATTTCCTGTATAAAAAATTGTGCACCTTTTTGTATAAAAGAAAAAACAAATTAAATATCAATTAGAATAATTAATATTTGTAGATAAACTATTGATATCTTAGTTAATTAATGAATTTTAAATTCAAAAAGCAATGGAAATAAACAATAGGCAAAAAAAAATACACAATGATGGGTAATTTTTTTTTATATAAGAAGCTACTAATATCCCCTATTGTTAAAAAAAAATTTTTAAAAAGACATTAAAAAATTTTTTTTATAAGTGGCACATTCCTTCACACATTTTGTATGGGTATTATGAAGATGTATTATGAGAGGGAAATTAGATTAAAAATAAATTTAAAAAAATGTAAATTAAATGTAAAATTTTTCAAAATATTGGCCAATCACTTATTTTTTCTCCAATATTGGTGCCAATCTGATACTAGTGATCTGCATTGGGCCTAATTTTTCAAGCCTGGCCCTGGTTGAAATTTTTTTAAAAAAAGTTTTGCCGGCCCAGCCTGAACTTGAATTTTTTTTTAAAAAAAATTAACCGACCCAGTCTGGCTCAAATTTATTTAAATATAGAAATTAATTATTATAATTACTCAAAATAAAAGACATGTTATATGTCGTTTATTTCAATAAATAAAATAAAATATTTATATTTTACATAAAAAATTCAATATAAAATTGATAAATTTAGATATATTTAAAATCCAAAGTCCGACCTGGCTCAATTTTTTTTTTAAATATTAGGCCCGGCCCAGTCCAAACCCAATTATTTAAAATAGAATAAGGCCCGAGACCCGTTGCAGATATCTATCTGATACCACAAAATATGGATTGATATTTAATGATGAATACAAATTTAAAATGAAACATATCAGGGAATTTTTTTAAATGTGTTTAATGTCTATTATAAACTTATTTAAAAAGGAATACATCAATTATACTATAACTAATAATGACAATAAAATTAAATATACATAGAAGTTTACATTTATAATAAAAAGATTTTAAACATTTAATATTAAATGCTTAATGAATATTTTAATACCAGTATTTTCAGCAATCATTTTGAGCACAACATTTTCACCCATTCCCAACTCTTTTCCTTGATAGGCTGGTGCAATGCAATTAGAACATAAATAAAGAATAGGAATGAGATCATTGGGGGTCAATATTATTGTTGATTGAAAGAAGTTACTCAATATATTGATAATCTTTAGTCTAAAAAATATTTGAAATAATATATTTTAAAACATAACATATGACAAATAAAGATAAGAATTAGAATATATATATAGATATATACCTTGAGGATTCTTCTTCTATGTATTCTAATGTTTTTGATAGGGCAGCATATGGAACACTTATTATAACTTATATATGATTCAAATAATAAAAGTGAACTTTTGATTTTGATCCCACACTGCATCAGAAACTGCATCATAATTTACCTTGGAAGGATCATATGTATCAATGTCTTTTATATACACACTTATTTGAATATATTATTAAAAAAATTATAAAAATATATTAGACTTTAGATTTAATGGTATATTTTTAATAGGATTAGCTTGAACAACATCAGTGTCTATTAAAATGTTTATAAATAAAATGAAAATTTAATATAACCTTTAGATTCAACTATTAAATAATTTTTTTTCACATTTTCTGCAACCTTTAACTAAAAAAATTGTGAATATATTATATTTTACCACTACAGACCTTTTTGATTTTATGAATTTTATTTAAGGATGTTTCATCTCTATTTAATTTCCTATTTTTAAACAAAAAAATTAAGATACATTTATATATAAATGAAATATTATTTTTTGATTGGCAATCTTATAACACATTTTCATATTTTAAACTTAACATGCTATATTAAAATGTTCTTTCTAAGTTGTTAATGTGCCCAAATTCATTTGGTTTTTATTAAGTTATTATTTATATTTATCTACAACATGAGAAAACAGAGAATATATAATTAGCTAAACATATAAGCCTCCCCATAAGGTTACATCTTACTTTCCATGAATATTTAAATAGCATCTGGTTAAGCTAGCGCCTAACTTTGCCAGCATAAAAAACGTAATGATGTCTCAATATTTACTTTAAATTTTAATACCCAGTCTGATGAGTTTATGAGAGAATTAAGCATTTCTATGTTATAAATAGCAAATAAATTTAATATTACTTGTTTTCTAAAGAATTTTCATTGTCAAAATCAGATTTCTTAGAAAAAAAATGCCTATATTTTTTATTACTATAAAACTTTATAAATTAGGTTACGTTATTTTATTTTGGGGCATAGTAAAATATCTTTGTAAAATATTGTAGTGAGAATAATTTAAACATATGATACGCAAACGCGCGAACTTACATATCATATGGGATATGCAACGAGGAAAATTGTAATTTAAATTAATAAAATAGTAGGCTTAGCAGTTAATTATAATAATAAATTACAATAATTGACAAGAAAAGGAAACTAAGCTGAACGCAATTATAAGCATGTCTTATAGATAAATTGAGATATAATGAATAATCCTAATTTTAAACAAACTGTCCTTTCAACAAATTTAAATATATAAACCTATATTGTAAAATATTATAAAATTTAATAAACAATTATTATCTTAAATATTTATTTCATTATCTTTGAATACTTTATGCTTTACTTGGACGACGATAAAAATTCTGAATAAAAATGAAATTACGGGAAAAATAGAATGTCTTTCAATGACATATAGATTTGTTTTTTTAAGTGTTTGATATTACAAATAATTTTGTCATATATTTGCTTTATATAAACATTATAAGATAAATTAAGAGAGTCATCACAAAATATAATTAAGACAGTGGCGTCATAGGGGGGGGGGGGCGCTGGGGCTCGAGCCCCTGAAAAATTGACGACCCCTGAAGCGAAAAATCTTTTTTAATGGCTCCTTAATTTCACCTTGATAAACAATTTTATATTGCTCCCTGAACGATTTCTTTTATATTTCTATTAAGTAATATATAGATTAAATTTTATTATTTAAAAATTAATAAGACTGTCTACATATTTTTTAAATGAATATTATTTTAATAGATTATATTAATACATATAATTTAACTTATATTTTCACTATGTCAGCTTGCAATCAAATTTTGTGTTAAAAATAGAATATCAATATCACTCACTAAATATTAATTTAGCATTAATAGTTGAAGTTTAATTGACTATTATTATTTAAATTGTTATATAACCCTAATTAAATAAATATAATCATTTATTAATTGAAAATTAAAAAATTTAATATTGTAATTAGCCGAGTTCAAAATGACTAATCAACTGTATATTTATTTTTAAATTTTATTATCATACCTATTAAAAATGGTTTTAAGATCCAAATAAGTATAAGAGATTTCTTTATAAAAAGTAAGTAGACATATAGTTTATAATCCTCTACTATATACATTTGTTTATTAATAATTAGATAAAATGCCACTTTTATAGCGATATTTGACAGTTATATAATATATTACAGTTAATATTTTAAATAATTTTACTAATAAATTTGATAATAAATATATTAACAATGCCATCTATTTAGTTATAATAATTTAAAAATTAAACACTTTATTCTTCATCCTGCAGATGTAATAAATTTGATATCTTTTCTTCCCTTTTTTACGTGTTTTTAGGAAAGCTATTCTTTTCTTTTTCGAAAAACAGTTTTGAGCATTGGTTTTGAGTTAAATTTTAAATTTTAATACAATAATATTTTTGATATTATTGCAACCTACTATTATTTTAAGATATAATATACCAAGGTGGTGTTACGATATGTAAAATCTTAATTGTTTCATATGGTCCTTATTTTATTGTTAGAAAATGTTTTATTTCTAATATAACATTGCTAGTAAATAACTCCAGGCTTCGATATTTTTGCATAATTATTTCTTCCAAAGATTTTTAGTGTTTTTATTTTATTAATTTATTTAACATAATAAATTCTGATATTAGTTTACATCGTGAGTGTCATGGCTATTAATGCAAATTAACAAGCATCTATTATTTGTGTTGCTATGTAATTTAAGTTTATTACTACTGCTGCTGAGAGCATATGATTGCATATTTTATATAAACAATAATGGTCAACTGTGTAGTCTTTTATATACCATTTAAAATGTAAGATAATCTTTTAAAAATTTAATATCTCACAATAATTTTCTAGATTAATTATATAGCTTCCATCATGTCATCAAAAAGGAAGCTCTAGCCACTTAATTTATGATTTGGATTGGTCGTTTATAGTCTCTTTCTCAAGAATTGTTGATTTAGTTTAGGCCTATAAATTTTTTCTTATTAGTCCATTATATAAAACATTGTCTAAAATGGTAACAAATTATATTAGTTTGATAACCTTTTGTTAATTTAAGTTGCTAAGAATTAAATTATTGTATTATGTGGTTTTTAAAAACCATTGTCAAATGAGGCATATGTATGAATTAAAAATTTTTTATCACTTGTAATTCTTTAACTGCAAAATTTTTTTATATCAGCAATCAAAAACATTTTATACTGTAATAAATAGATTTTGTTTTTAAAAATATTATATTTAGAAATGTCTTGTATAGTTTTAATTATTTATATGTCAGTTTATTTTGTATGCATGAAATACAAAATATGATATTCAGAATAACTGTCCAGAGTTAACAATTTTAAAAAAAGCAATATATATCAATATAAAACCCGACCGAAGGCCGGGCAAAAGCGGGCTGAAGGCCAGGAAATTAGAGGGTATGGGGGCGAAGCCCCTCATAAATTTTTTTTAGTTGAGCCCGCCTAAGATTATAAATGATAGCGACGCCCCTGATTCTAACATTATGTTTAAAAACTAACTTTAAATCGCTTTTTATAATTTAACCTTTGTATATTCTAACATTGAATTTTAAAACTAACTCCGTTTTTTAAATAAAAACCATCGGTTTATGTAATCTTTTTGTATATTACATTGTTTTTTTAAGACTCACTAAAAAAAGAATGGCTTTTTATAATCTAACCGATTTTTTGTATATTCCAACTAGAGGTCTACTGGGCGGGCGGGCGGCTAAATTTTTTTTAAAAACAGGCAGGCGGGCGGGCGGGCGGGCGGGTGGGTTAAGTAATTTAGAAATTTAAACAATTTTAAAAAAATTGAAAAATTTTATTTTAATTAATAAAAAACTGTTCTTACGAACTTAAAAAATAAAAAGCCTTTTTCTGGTATAACTTTTTATAAAATAAATCAACTTTTTTCTTCAATTAAAAAAAACTTTTTCTACAAATAAAAACAAACTTTTTTCTATAAACAAATTAAAATCTCCTTTTATGGTAATGAAATAAAACTTTTTTCTTAAAATATATAATTTTAGATATTGAAAATTAAAATTTCCTTTTTTGGGAATAATGAAATTACTCCATTGTGTTATTTTATTTTAGTAATGATTGTTTATCTTTATATTGCCCTTTTTATTTTCATTTATATTTTCTTATATATATATAAATATTATTTTTTATAACATAATTTTAACAAAATAATATTTTTTAATTTAATTTTAAAATATGAATAAAGAATTGATTGCTAAGAAAATAAAAAATAATTTGTATAAGATAAAAAACAATGAAGATAATAATAATAAACTTAAATAGTCTATGTGGAAACAATTTAAAATTATTTTTGATGAAAATGACAAAAAGCTAGATTGGATTCGCTGCAATGATTGCGAGTCCATCTTTAAATATAATAGCAAAAGTGGCACCTCCTTCTTCCTTCGGCATCAATGTTCATCTGCAAATTATGAAGATTTGATAGATAATAAAAAAATAACTGGATATTTTGAAAAAGACAATTCTCAATTAAACAAAACGATAAAATCTGGTCTAATAGCGAATTTTGTAGAATATTGCGCTAGAGACATTAGGTATTTTAATTTAATAAATTATTCTTTTATCTTTTTTAGGCCATTTCAAGCAGTTTAAGGACCTGGATTTATAAATATTTTACAAAGATTTGCCGACTTAGGGGCAACATATGGTAAATTGGATGTTAATAAGATAATTCCTTGTGCTACAACAGTTAGCCACAACGTATCCAAACGCTACTTCTAAAAGAAAATTTAGCATTGCCGGAAGGTTTTTAGAACAAAGAAAAACGTGTTTGAATCCCGAAAATGGGGATTCATTATTATTTTTGCATTATAATTACTTATAATATTTATTTTATATTTATATTTTATAAATATTTTATTTGATAAAATAAATTATCCATAATTTATATTGCATATTTTTTAAGCTTAATATAGTAATTTCCTAAATTATAAAACTTATAGAGATGTAATGTTGAGACTATTTTCATTAGATGCTTAAAATAGCGGACTTGGGTAAAAAAATTTTTATAAATAATGGGCGGGCGGGTAAAAAATTTCTGACTAATGGGTGGGCGGGCAAGAAATTTTAGACTAATGGGCGGGCGGGTAAAAATTTTTAGATTAATGGGCGGGCGGGTATATTTTTTTTGAAAACTATGGGCGGGCTGGGCGGGGGGGTTAAAATTTTTTTAAACATTGAGTGGGCGGGCATATTATCCTAAAACCCGCCCAATGCAGACCTCTAATTCCAACATTGTTTTTTTTTTAAATAAAAACTATCGGTTTATGTAATCAAATCTAATATATTGTAACAAACATGAATTAGTTTTATTAATATATATATTTTATAAATATAAGTAAAATAAATAATATAATCATTACATTAACGACAATTTATACAAAACCATATATATTTTCATGGTTTTTTTAGAATATTTGTGCAACGGAAATGGTACCAATTTAAGTTCATACCGCACATTATTGATAAATCATTTTTCAAAATTATATCACATTTTTGACGAAGCCATGGTTCCGCTAAAATAAGATTGTGTAAATTATTTCCATGCATCGATCAGTAGATATTAGATAGTGTTAACCATCACCGAATATTATATTAATATATATATATAATAGAATCTTATAATCATATCTAATTGACGAATATAATAATTAAATATATAAATTTTTTAAAAAAATCTTACGGTCTTGCCCGGCCCAGTTATAACAATCTTACGCCATGCCTGGTTATTTTGAAAAATTTTAGGCCCGGCCTGTATATATTTAAAAGATTTTTTATGCCAAGATAAGGTATATTTAAAAAAATTAAAATGCTACAGGGCTTAGGGTCAGGCCTGTAGGTCTCTGATATTTATTTCAAAAGCATTAAATATTAATTGTTTAACGGACATGACTGTTAATTAGTTAATTTTGAACTCGGGTAATTACAATATTAAATTTGTTAATTTCCAATATGATTATATTTATTTAATTAGGGTTATATATTAATTTATATACTAAAAGTCAAGAACTTCAACTATTAATACTAAATTAATATTTAATGAGTGTTATCGATATTCTATTTTAACACAGAATTTGATTGTAAGCTCACATGGTAAAAATATAATTTATATGTATTCATCTAATATAATAATTAAAATAGTATTCATTTAATAAAAATTATTAATTTTTAAATAATAAAATTTTATCTATATATCACTTAATAGAATTATAAAAGAAATAGTTCAAGGGCCAATCATAAAAATATATTTTTAGTAAGAGGATATAAAGGAGCCATTAAAAAAAATTTTGATTCAGGGTGCTATTCAGATTTTTTAGGGGGCTCGAGCCCTGCGCGCCTCACTCTTGCCAATGAAGACCGATAATTTTGTTGATATAATTTTAATAAACATTTTTGAGTCCCATGAGATTGTAAAGGCTTCTGATGTCCCTGATTTGCAGATAAATAAAATAAAAAATAAAACATAATCTTTTGGTTAATTTGATGAATATTATTAAAAGGATTTCTATAAAACCAATAAGGTTCATTTTGGAAATTTCTAAATGTAAATATATTTATTAAATTGCAATGTATTATAATAAATAGTAAACATTCATAATTTGGTTTAACAGATGAATAATAATTTATAATTTAAAAATGATAATAAAATTATAATAATTTATAAAAGGTCAAATAATTGCAATTTATAATGTCATTTAATAAATAAAAGAATTCGCCATTGGCAGAATGTCAATCGTCGCCTTTTCCCTAAAACTCTAATATATTCTGATTTTTAGCACAAAAAATTTATGTCAAGGGACTGGAACACAAATGAGGTTATTGTAGATGCCCTACCTTATATTGATCAAGGATTTGATGATTTGAGAATCAGAGAAATAGTAATATAAGAAAGATAAATGTTATCTCTTCTTTTATAGGCTTTGAGCTTAGTTGAAGAGGAAACTAAGAGATATAAACCAACCAAAAACTATCTTGAACATCTTCCCCAATTAAATTTAAATGACTTTGAGGTAAAATTATTTGCAAAGTTTAATAAATTTTTATTAAGACTGATATAATGAAAAATGAATTTGCAAGAATTGCTAATCATAACCCAATGGAAATGATGAATATGAGGAGGTAATCCTTTCTTCTCTTCTAGGTATCTTTTAACACTTATTATATTAGATATGAATTACCAACACCACCTCCAGGAAAACTAACAGATATTACAGCTTGGAATGAAGCAGTTGAAAATTCAATGGCTCAATTAGAGCACCAGGCCACTAGGTTAGCAATAATATCTTTATAAAACTTAAAATATTATATTTCAGGATCTCTAACTTAGAATTGATGGGGGAATATGGATCAATAGCTTGGAAAAATTATAATAAGATACTAAACATTATGGTGGAAGAATTAAAGAAACAACTCATTAAAATTAAGTACTTTAAATATAATAGACATTACATTTCTAATTCTATGCAAAATTTATGTGCCACTTACATTGATTTATTTATAAAGCTGAAACAAGCCTGATTAGTCAGTTAGTTAATGCAAACTCCCTAACAAATGACCAAATAACTATTATAACACATTTTAATTTTTTTTACCTGCTAAAAAATGATCAATCATTTAAATCAATAAAGAGGCTGCTAATTATGTTGTTGAAAGGTAAATATTGTTGAAAGTTAATTAAATACTTAATTTCTTTCTGAAATAAAATTAAAAAATAATAACCCTTATATGTAGGGTGAATGTTAATAGGTGTGGAAGTAAAACAAAAATTCTGCAAAGAGTATATCTTAAATAGTGACTAGGCCTATTCAAAAATGAATAGATTATTACATTCATTTTGAATAATTTTGAAGAATAATATACAAATATTGTTTGTTTTGTTCAAATATGAATATATGAAATGAATAAAGAATTATTCTATTTAAATGATTCATATATTTGATTAGTTATTAGAATAATTCAATAATTTGATCAAATATTCAATTAATCAGAATAATTAAATAAGATGTTTTTAATAAAATTTAATTATATGTCATTTCTATTGATAATCTATCAATCAAATAGGTGATATGATTATTGGGGTATGCATAAATTGCTTGTGACTTTCTTAGTAAGAACTAATTTACTGTCATAATCTTATGTCTTATAAAAAACAATAAGAAAAACTCTTTGCAATAAAAATTGGTGGCATTAGAGATTAAATTAATATGCATTTTAATTTTGTTAATAATTTGAATCGCATTTTATTTATTAGAATATTTTTTCTGTTTAAAATTAGATATGCAATAAGAAAAACTAATATATTCATATTAATTATTTTATAATATTTAAAAAAAAGAATTATTTGAATAATTCAAATTCAATACAAATAATAAATTTTATTATTTAAATGAAAAATGCACTATTTGGCTTGTATTCATTTTTGAAGAGGCCTAATAGTGGCTAATAATTTATACATGTAATGTCCAATAATACAAATAAATCAGTTGAGTATGAAGCTATGTTTGACATTATATTTTTCACCACTCATTCACTGTTTTCTTTTTGAAAATTCAAAATCAAATTTTTGTGTTACTCATTGGTAAAATACCATCTATTAATTACTGTTAGTCTTTTAAAATTAAATTTAAATAATCAAGCATTGCAATTTTAAGCACATTTTTTTTAGAATTTAGAATGAGGAGAAATAATCGAAGCCAATTCTTTTCTTAAAATTTTTAAGGACTTAAATCATAACCCATATTGACGTTTTAAAAGCACAAATAAGTTCTAAAAATGGTTTATCGTTTGGACACTTTTAACCAGAATTACCTTTTTAAAAATATTTACACCTGGAATCTTTATTCTTATTCCAAGTTCTGAAGTCTGATTTTTTTTTTGAATAGGAAAAGAATTATCAAATTAAAATAATTCAATCAATTTTTTTTTAAAAATAAAATGTATGCATGGCGTGACGTTTAAGGAAAAAGACACAAGAAGTGAATTGGCAAAGAAAAAATGACCAGATTAATGTGGGTAGGCAATTGCAAGAATTGGAATCAAGGTGATAACATTTTTTTACTGTTATTAATCAAATTTTTTTAGACTAATATCATTATTTGACAGTTATTACTAGGGCTGTGCCGATATTAAATATTGGATTGGATCGGCACCGATATTTAGCTTTTTCCAAAAATATATCTTATTGTATAAAAATTGTATAATTTTTTTTTATTTTTAAAAAAAATTTATTAATAAATTGATGATAGGAACTAAAATACTTATTTGTTGAATGTAATGTTTAAAAAATTTTTTTTAATTTTACACCTTTTTTTTACATTATCTGCAACAATTAAAGGATTTTAAAATGTCTAACGAATCACATTCAGCTAGTGGGCTCGACTTTGCCAATTTTAAAAATGGTTAACTCAAGATTATATTTTGCCCACATATGGCATAAAAGGTTTTTATTTCTATTGGCGATATTTCGAGTCTTAGGTAATAATATTTTGGCTACGACTAAATGGGGCTGTAACAACACTACACATTCACCCATGAACAATGAAAATATTAAAAATGGGATTATTAACTTTTGGAGAATAAAAATACACTTAATCATTCTGAAAGTTTCTTGGTTTTTTTTATAATAAAAAATATCGATATTTTTATGACATTGGTTCAAAAACAGATGGTAAATAAAACTCAATAGAAATATCGGAATCGGATCGGTTTTTAGTGATATCGGAAAATATCAGATGGGATCGGTTTTAAGTAATATTGGAATAACGGAATCGGATCGGTGAAAAATTTGTGGATCGGCACAGCTCTAGTTATTACATAATTTCTGAATACATTGTTTTACTTTATTTTTAAAAAAAATAGTTGGGTTGGCTTGGTTAGCAAAAATTACGAAATTGAAAGGGCAATAGTTGAACTGGAAAAAGAAATAAAACAAGTACAAGACAAGTCAACAAATTAAAGAACTCTTTACAATATAAATAACCTTTTTCACTCGTAGTTATATATAATTGTGATATTTAGAATGTATATATTATTGAAAATAAATTATTGATCTCAGGCAATAAACCCAATTCAATGAAAAGCTTATAGGCAGAATAAAGAATTTTTGAAATATTAAAAAACTATATTTTTATTAATAAATAGAACTAATATTATGAAATTTCTGCTGAGCACCCTATTCCTAAACAATTAGGATTTGTTATAGATTAGCAAGCCTTGTCTAAATTATGTAATCTTACAAAATTAGTGAAGAATTAAAATTTTATTTGGGGCTTTTATGGGCTTGAGATTTGCGCAAAGTATTTTTGATCGAAAAATATGTTGAACCACATTTATAACATTAGTAAAATTATTGATTTATTTTTTCCTAACCCAGAAATATTTTAATTATTTGATTAAAATAATTTTAAGTTTGATATTTAAAATTTTTTGAAATTCTGTCAGATAAGTTGATATGAAAAGGGGTAGTGTTTGCAACGGTCCGGTTCAGTCCGTTCTTTTTTTCTAAAATGGGACCGGACCGATGGACCGTTAAGTCAAATGAGACCGGACCGTGGGACCGTCGGTCCGGTTTCACCTAAAAAAATTTTTTATAAAGCTACAAAAGTTTTATTTTGTATTTAAATTTATTAAAAATGAATAGTTAAACTACCCTATTAATATTTCAATTATATCATCAATTCATTTTTATTATATTATACACAAATGCCTAATCAAAGAAGAATATAAAAAGTAAACTATGAATATTGAATTTAATGAAACGGAAGAATATAAAAAGTAAACAATGAATTAGATATTATAAAGTGTTAGGCATTAAATAATCATATTTTATATGTTCATGTACATACACATTAACTATAAAGCAATTTATAGTAAACTTTTATATTCTTAAATTGGTCTTCGGTCGGACCGGACCGTGTTGTTGGACGGGACCGTCCCATAGGACCGAAAAGTCTAATAAGACCGGACCGGACCGTTGCAAACACTAAAAAGGGGAATGGTTTATATCTCAGTTGTAACTTGTGGCTGCTTAAATTTTTTTATTTATATTTATAAAAGTAAGGATAAATTAATTTTGTCTGTCCTTTCTAATGCAGTAATTTGTTTTGATTTTATTGCTAAACCTGAGCCCACTATTTATTTAAGTTAATATAACCTATTAAATAAAAATATAAGTTAAAAAATCAAATCTAAACAAAATATATTTGAAAAAATTTTAATCGTAATTTAAAAAAAAATAATTTAAATTTAGAAATTAGTCATAGGTAGTACCCTGCAAGTAGGCTAAAATTTCGGCCAACCCCGTAGCCTCTCCCAATTATCTATTTTTTTATAATTTTATATTATTTTTTATAAAGTTAAATATCACTAATTGCTTGGACTAATTCCAGATAAACGGTATTTATCATTTTAATTTAATAAATGAAAAAGCTATTTTCTATTGGCCCAACACAATATATTTTAGTCTAAACCCATTTCTAGCCACCCCCAAACTTCTATGAGCTGGAAAGCACCCCTGGCCGACTTGAGTCAAATCATGAATGGTAACACCTGATTTCTCTTCCAACCTAACCTAAATCTTTCTAATGCATAAACTACTCGGTAATGCTGTTCACGAGCTTGAATTTCAGATTTGTTTTACTAAGTCAGGATTAAATCCGAGTCATAATAGCCTTATAATTTTTTTGCTAGATCTCAATCCTACGTGTTACAATTAGTTCAAAAAAAGACAAACTAACCAATATTAACTCTTAACTTGAGTAAATATTAAATACTAATATCGGGTAAATGTTTAAACATCAACCTAACACTAAACTATATTTATTCATATCATATCGTGTCGATAAAAATGTAAAAATATAATGAGTATAAATTTACAAAAAAAATATATTATATCAAATTTATTTTTTTATACAAAATTTGTCATAAGAATTATAATTATAACAAACTTTTTTTTTTAGATTCGAATTAAATTTAGTTATTCAACATTTTTTTTACAAAATTTATAATTCAAATATTAATAGAAAATGTATATTGCAACTAAAAATAAGGGGGGTATTTGTTGACAAATAATACTTGCGTTATTTAACCTATGGGGAACACTTTGAATTAGGGTCTGGCTGCAGCCATATGATATAAATCAGAAACAAGCTTTAAATATATTCATTAGTATCATAGGATGGTTAGTAGTAACATAGTAACATTTCTAAATGGTAGACACAAACTAACTTTTATATTGTTATACATTATTTATCGTAATGAGTCTGTAATTATAAACATAATACGTACAGTTTTAAATATAGAAATCATAATATATTGTTTAATGAAATGGTATAATACTACAAAAACATGACTTCTATTAATTCGCAACAAATAAAAAATATCGACGTTTCCTTTCCTTTTCTTTCTTCGTATTATTTCTGGGGCGGCGAGTTTGGGCCGGCTAAGATATTAGCGGAACCATTGGCGGATGTTATAGTGACGTTGATGGCGAGATTTCCATTTTCGGCGAAGAGCGATGCCACGCCCGATTCGAAAACGAGGCAATCGCACTTTGCTATAGCGTTAGCTATGCCCTCATGCACGCTTCTGGGTCTGGCCTCCCATGTTAGGCGCCGTCCGTTACCGTTGAGCTCGAGTCTATTCAGCATATTATTTTTTTAAAAATTACTTTCAATTTTATCGATGCCAAAAAATTAATGTTTTTAAACGGCTAAATTTAGTCGACTAAAAAAAAAGACTCAAGTCGAGTTTTTGATCGAATAACTTTGACCCCGAGCGATAAAAATTATTCGATTGATTAAATGGGGAATACGTTTATATGCCCCGTTATTGGATCTTGATAACAATTTAATTTTTATTTGTACCCAAAATATATATGGCTACCAACAGAGACCTGCAGAGAGGTACCATTTATACGGCCCGGCCCGGATTTTTTTTCAAAAATTATTTTCGGCCCCTACCAGGGTTCCGGCCCGGATTTTTTTAAAATATATTTTATTTATTTTTGGATTTTTATAGCCAATAATGGCGAATTTGGTTTTAAAATATATGGTCCGATTCGAATATTTTTAAAAAAATTTCAGGCCCGGTCCGTTTTTATTGCGAAAAAATATTGGCGCTAGTAGCTTAAATTGATTCGATTTAGGTAATAAATCGGTTCGGCCATCGAGGTTTTGGTCGGGTAGCCTGAGAATTATAGTCGTGGTCGGAAGAACTCCATCAATTAACTACGCTACCCAAAATAATAAAATCTTCTAAAAAAAAATTGTTTATGAATAGACCTATTAAGGCACGAATTTCTAAGAAAATAAATTTCTAAATAGATTAGAAAAGAAAAGTGTTTAAGAGTAAAATATCATGCTCCACCACACTGTTTATTGAATGCGTGCATTCATATTTTACTTTTAAAAATCAAACATTTCCTATTTCTTCTTAGTCCGATATCGGTAATATCCGGCCGATACCGGATTTATATGGGTGCAACTCTGATTTATTTATTTTTTCAAATGAAAATTAATAGTTTCAAAAAATAAGTAGCTTCAACAACTGTTAAGGTTGGCAGGAAGTTAGACAAGATTTAACAAAAAGATTTAAAACTTTTTTTAGTTTTAACTAAAAAACTATAATAAATTTATTCTATATATATAAAAAAAATCTAATGAAATTATTAAGTGAAGTTAATATAAATTGTGTTAATTAAAAATGAATGCGACATATAAAAATTTGCGCTATATAACAACCAGTATAATAAAATAATTATCCATGTTTAACAACAACCCAGCTTAATTTTCCTTCTAAAGTAAGGATTTATTATTCAATATAATATATCATGTATATAAATAAATGATGTCAGTTTCAATTGTTGATAAAATATACGAATTTTTTTTTGAAAATAAAAATTCATTTTAAATGTTTAACAATGTTTGATTATTTAAATTAAATGAATTAATATTAATAGTATCAAAATGTTATATTATTTAAAATAAGAGTAAATTGAAATAATTAAATTTATATTTAAGCCTGACCCTATATAAAATGCAGACTTATAGGTGAGGCCCAAAAAATATCGTGTCGCAATTTCGTTTTAAAAACCAGTGTCAGGCCGATTTTATTCATGATGAAATTTTAAAGTTTCCAAGCAGACCCGTAAAAAAAAATCAAAATTTTCCCGAAAATCACGGGCTTGAGATTAAAAAAAAATTGAAATCAGGGCTAATCCGGACTTTAATATGATTTTTTTATCGAATCGAAAATAATCTTTTTATTATTCGTACGAATAACGAATAGTGGATGATTCGATTTAACCGATACGAATAATTCCATTGATTCGATTCCTATTTTTGAAGGTATAGAGGTACTAATATTCTCCAAATGATTTAAACGTATCTGTCTCTGAGACTTGGTCATAATACTTAATTTATTATCTAATCCTATATCAATCAAACATCCCCCTCAAAACAACATTTATTGTAATTGCAAGATAACAACATTGTTAAATTTGGTGGAGCCTAAAATTTGTATGTATCTGGTGGAGATAAGATTAGAATCGAAATAGATATTTTAAGAATATTCAAATATAGATCCTATGCGATATTAACTCAAATCGAATAGCGATTTCGGAAATTTTTTACGAATACGATCCCAATTCTCAAGCAATAATTTATAAATGATAAAAATAAATGTATGACTTGTAAGCAAAGTTTTCGGCTTGCTTTCGGGATCCAATCAGCTGAACTACGGCGTAAAACTGTTGAAGGGGAGTACGGTTCAATGATACACCCATGGCGTGGCCAGCATGACCCCCAGAGCCACCTCCTCCCCCATCTGCCGATCCCTGATGATCGAGAGAGGAGGGGGTCAGGTTAGATGATGGTAAATTGTTAGAGGGCGTGGATGAAAGGGCTGATGGGGTAGGGGCGGGTGTGGCCAGGCGTTCCTGCTTTTCCAAGACCAAGATAAAATGATGGCCGAAACAGCTCTGCATCATGACCCAGTCTACGTTTCCAGGCAGATTTATGTCGGTGGCTAAGAAGACTATGTCTTCACCTTTAATTATATATATGTTTAGAATAAATAAACGGTGAACATTTTTATTTAGTGCCCAAAATAATCTTAACTATCTTAAAGTTGACAATTGGATGACAAAATTAGTGAAACCTAATCGAGAAGTACAAAGACTAATCAAAATTCAAATATTTGATATATACATTTTATAATGTAAATTAACCTTGAAGGGTGGTGATTGTTTTGTGGGAAACGAGCAGATGGGACATGACTTGTTCGAGGGAGCCTTGCCATTTACAGGAAGCCCCTGGGCAAGGGCATACGTAAGGCCTAAGGTTAAACAAATATAAATTAATTTAGAGGATAAAAGTTTTTTCCTCTTTTAAGCGCTCCGATATTTTCTTTTAAAAAAATTCGTATTAAATAACTACGTATTTTAATAATTCAGTCAACTAGAGATGCAATGGATTAAGATTTTATGGGAATTCCGACCAAGATTCACTGTTATCGGCACCTGAATTTCTTTTTATAAATGTATCCGGATCTCAAATTTCAAGATAACTAGAGATTCCATCTTCCGACATGTCTCTAATATTTACGAAAAATAAGTCGTTTCGAACTCTTAAATTATCTCTTACTTTATTCCAATTATCGCGGGTGGGTTAGATAAATTTGTTTTTATTGAATAGTATGTATATAATCTAAATTCCATTTATTTTTTTAAAAATTAAACCGAAATTCGCAAATTTCCTCGTGTTCAACTTTTTCGGTGTGGGACAGGGATTTGTTGCAGCCCGAATTGTTATATTTACAAGGGAATAGGATCGTGCTTGCAACCTTCTCCATCGCCAAATTCCTGATGTTGCCTGTAATTTAAAAAAAAATATGAGTTTCACTTTAAAAGGAGTATATAATTCTTAAATCGCTTTTAAAGCCTAAGAATCTTCAAAAACATTTAAATACCTAGATTTTTTAAAAAAAGAGATTTTTTAAATTCGATGAAAACACTAATCATAGTAGTTTAATTTAAATTTTTGTTTACCTAAAGGTCCCCGGCAAGTTGGACAGCATTTTAGATTGAGCCGGCACAAAGAACAAACCAGATGTCCACTCCGGCATTGATAAATGGGAGGGAGAACGTAGTCGAAACAAACCGGGCATTCGAAAAAGCTAGTTATATCGTTTTCATTACTATCACCTAAAAAAAATGATAAACATTATTTTTTCATGTGTATTTAGTATTAAGAATCATGAATCGGCGGTGGCTATTAGACCCGATTTTGGGAAAAATTTTCCAATATTATAAAATTCCAGACCGTAAATGCCTTTTTACCAGGTTAGCGCTGTGCCGATCCGATATGAAACCGACCGGAAATTTATATTGATTTTTTATTAACCATCAATATTTGAATCAATGTCATAAAAAAAAAGAAATAATTTATATTCAAATAAAACTAACTAACTTTTACATGTGTATTTTTTTATCTATGAAATCATTTCATTTTAAAATTTGAACAACAATTTTTATAGCTGAGTATAGTTGTTCAATGGCTCGATTTATAAAAAACAGATGTCATGATTTTAGCCAAAATATTATTATCTAAGCCTCGAAATTTCGCCAAAGATTTTCCTGCCATCAGAGGCCAAAAATTACAAGCTTGAGTAATTTAGCTAGTTTTAAAAATTGATGAAATCGAGCCGAATAACAACGCCACCTAAATGTGATTCGTTAGAAATCCATTTCTTGTTGCAGTGGCTACTCTATCTTTTAAAAATATGATTGTTTTTTTTTAAACGTTATACAAATAAATTGAATTTCGGTTCCATTTAGTAATTTATTATTATAATGAAATTATGAATAAAATATATTTATTTGTATTCAATAAAAAAAATAACAGAAAATAATAATATAGGATTGCCTTTTTGTTAACGTTACTCAAAAAAATACGTTACCGTTACTCGTTCGTTCCCTCTAGAAGGCAACGAATAGCGTTCCAAAAAAGGTTAAGCCGTTACTTTTTTGAATTAAAGTTACTTTACAGCACTTATTATAATTAAATGATTCTTAAATTTAATCAAAAACAATATTATAATATAAAATGCTTTTTTTTGGTAATCTTGCAAGAAACACGACTGGTAAAAATGATTAAATTTTTTAAATAAATATAAATTCTATTTATTAACGATTATCTATAAAAATGTTTTAAAAAAAGAATATATTTAATTTTAAGAAAAACATAATTGAGTTCCTAAAAAGGAACAATAGTTAAATTTAAGAAATATTGATTTGTTGTTTGTTCTGCCTGAGGATTAGGATCAAATGTTTTCGATTTAATTTTGTGAGATAAATTTTTTAAAAAAACTAAAAGGTATAGTATAGGAGCTAACTGCCCATAAAATTGCTGAAGCTTTTGTATTTGATTAGTCTCTGCTTGAGTGCCCATGGCCAGGGGTAGTGGTTAGACCGTCGGGTCTTAGGCAGTCATCTGTGAGGTTGCAGGGTTCTAGGTATGCGAGCCTTATTCAATAGGAGAGGCTTATTAATTTGTTTATTGAAGAGTACGATGTTTGGTTTTTGATGCAATTGGGGCCAAGCCTTCCCTTAGCATTTACTAGAAGATGGCAGTTCATGCAATGATGAGGGCGAACTAGGCCTCACCTTAGTCTACAACCTAAAGTCACTCTTAGTTGTTCATTGGTTAAGAGACTCCCCAGGTTTTCGCTCACAAGGCTTCCAGCCATTAGACCCCCGATTTTATTTTCGTTTTGAAGTTGAATGTCCTCAAGGGATGAAGGAAAGATAAGTTGGAAAAAATTTGAAATTAGGGGTGAAAAAAAAGAGTTTTTGATTGGAAAAACATTTAATGGATATCTTTTTTTATTAGCATTTCATTTGCTAATAATATTTTAAATAATTTTTAAAAAACAAAAAAAAAAAAAAAAAACAGAGTTAGGGTAAAAGTAATTTTTTTAAAATCCGAATCGGGTTTAGAATATATTATATTTTTTTAAAAGATTTGTTTTTTTCGCGTAAAAATGTTTTTTTTAAATTCTATGAATGATTAGTACAATGTAATTTGTTTTTTTTAACCCTCTAAGGCATATAATCATAAATATGACAAAAAAAAAATTGTTTTTAACACAAGCCTACATTATAAAATAATTTATATATTAAAAAAAATTTTAGAGTATAAAAATGTTATCATGATACATATATTATACATCGATAAAAAAAATTTTTTTTTATATCATAATAATGTTAAAATTAAAAAAGGTAATTGTAATTTATGAACTTTTTTGAAAAAAAAAAAAAATTTAAAACCTATATTATTTATATGTAACATAAAATCTTTTATGATTCACTTCGCACACAGCAGACTCGAGCTATTAGAAGAAAAAAATGGTAGATAAGTTACTGTTATGATATTAAATAAAAAGGCCAATGAAAAAAAAATCTGGGCCATTATGTAATGAGTAATATCAAAAAGGTAAATTAAATATAATATATTATATAGTAATTCGCCGAAAAGATACAAAGGTTAGTTGTATAACATATGCATCACAATACAGGTCAAATTTTTAGTATCGGCCCGGATATTATATCTAGGGAAGCACCGATATTTGTCATCGAATCGGGCCGATATTTCATCTCTTTTAAGATATCGGTTATTGGCAGATAATATCAAATTTACCGATCCGGTAAAATGGAGTATAAATTTTTAAGAAATTGTATATTTAGAAAAGTGAGATGTTATAAAAATTTTGAAAAAAAAACATTTATTTTTATAAATAATATCAAAATTCACTTTAATTATTAATTAAAATATTTATTTAGTAATTGATTAATATATCTGTATTATGTAGTAAATAGATTAATGTAGTTGCATAAATAAGTGATTTATCAATTCTTTTAGATTCACGAATTTAATAAACAACTGATCATTCTAATACATTTAATAAAATGATTTATGTTGTTAAATTGTAGATGTTATAATATTAAGAAGTATATGAGATGCGTAGATGTATGAATTAAAAATTAAAACGATTAGTATGTTTACCGAATAGAAAGTGAGATATGATATCGGTTAGGATCGCCCTCAAAAATCTGTCCCCTAATTATATCTAAAAATTTCAATTCAATTTTTTTTGTTTGATGTAAAAGAAATATTTGGCTTCATTGGTAAATGACTAATTTTGCTGCCTATATTTAAAAACATGAATGTTACTAGGGAAAAATTTGTAGATGTGAGGAAAGGAATGACAGATGTCGATCAATTAGATAATGACCCCTCAATTATATATCATAATTAATACTTCATGTCAATCTCAAAAATTAGTTCTAAAAAAAGAGCTGTTTTCAAAACCCCTATTAATTAATAAACAAACTATATTTGATAACCATAAATTTATTGGCAGTAATTTTTTTTAGATAAATATAGAGAAATTTAATTAACAACATCTGAACAAATTATATAAATAAAGGTTATAACGTAAGTATAAATTTATTACCTTTTTTTTGCAAATAACTTTTAATTTTAAAAAAAAAACCATTTATTGTCAATTAGATAATATTGTAAAAGATGGTTAAAAATTTAGGCTAATATTTCAACATTCGATTATATAAGGAAGTGAAGGTTCAAAAAGCGATAAGGATGCACATGTGCTGTGTATGTGCTGCTTAAAGATTTTATAAACTAATTAGAAAAAGCAATATACCATCAGTTGCTCTAAATCTAAACATAATTGTTATTTAATTTATTCATTTGGCTGATGACATTGTATCAAATATATTTGACACTATAATCATTAATATCTAAAAGATTGCTTTTTTTCCATAAAAGTTATTGAAGGATCCACAAGTTCAGCACAACTTTCTGGCGAATATAAAAAACGTTTGTAATAGAATTTGGGGTCAAATGGGAAAATGGTTAAAAAATAATTTTTTGCAATCTATATTACTATACAAATACATTATCTAATCGAGACAAAAAAATTTTTTTTTTTTGAAATTTGGCTAAAAATGATTGGATTTTTGCGCGTGATATCAATGAAGGGTTAAAATAATTATTTTATAAAAATTAATAAAAGAATGATTCCACGCAAAATCAACAAATGTTTCGGGCGACCCCCTTTAAAATAAATGAAATTCGACATGATGGTTAGTTAAGATGTTCATATTTTAGAGCATTAATTTAATTTAACCAGATAAAAATATGATGTGTACTCCTCTAAAGTCGAGAATAGAGTATATCGTTCCTTAATGTCAATCACGAATTATTATTTAGAAGTCCTTAAATCCCATAGTTTTAATCTATTTTTAGGGTATTACTATTATATAATGGGCGCTCGATTTAACCAAGTTTTAGATCTCGAATAAGCGTCACGCGATGTTCGCTTCATTTTAAAGAAGGTCGTCTTAAAATGTCGTTTTTTGTTGATTTCACGGAATGACCCAACCCAAAAGTTAACGCTACTATTTATAGCTGAATTAATTTATATAGAAAATCAGCGCGAGCCGAACTGGGCAAAAAAATCTCGAAAATTTCCATGAGTCAGCTGACCCTAAGAAATCACCTGTTAACGAGTTCAATTTTTTTTTAAATAAAGTGATTCGAGCGCATAATATTTACGAATAAATAATATTAAAAAAAAATTTATGCCACGTAAAGAAGAAATTCGCAAAAGGTCGTTTCCCTGGTGGAATTAAGATTATACACCCCTTTTAGATCTCCGCCAGATGGGTATGTAAATATTGCGTAAAAATTATTTATCTTTAAGTAAAAAAGGGGAGTCTGTTGAATTGAAAATATCAAGATGCCAAAAAAAATTATATTTAAAAGTGAATAATTTATTGATAATTATAATAATTTGTATATAATTATATCATTTAAACACAAAAAAAATGTTATTTTACTTAACAAATTTGTAAGTACAAAGAATTATCGCACGCTAATAAGATATGTGACAGTTTTTGAGCTTTTAAAAATAGAAATCTCATCATTTACAATGTATCGGGGTTTTAAAAGTATCGGCCATAAAGTTCGGGTACATTTGAAAAGTGTGTAGTGTTGTTTGTTATTTTTCTTAACAAATTTGTAAGTACAAAGAATTATCGCACGCTAATAAGATATGTGACAGTTTTTGAGCTTTTAAAAACAGAAATCTCATCATTTACAATGTATCAGGGTTTTAAAAGTA